AACCTCACTGCATTTCTGGCAGATCAACTGATATTTTGATGTACTTGCAGCAATCCTAAAATGGAAAAATGTGGGAAAATGAGCAAATATCGCAAAGATCTACAGAACATTTATTTATTTTTTTTGGCCAAACATTTTAAATGACTATAAATGAAATATAAAAGGGCAAAAAACGTGAAAGTCAAATAAAAGTTGACAACATGGAAGCCTTCCTCGGTACCAGAGGAGCTTACGCTCAAAATGTTTTGTTTAGTTTTATTTATATTGATCTATATATTGATCTATCATCCATCCATCCATCCATCTACCATCCATCTACCATACATCATCCATCTATTATCCATCCACCTATCATACATCAATCCACCACCCATCCATCCACCCATCTACCATCCATCAATCCACCACCCATCCATCCACCCATCTACCATCCATCAATCCACCACCACATCCATCCATCTATCTACCATCCATCTATCTACCCATCCATCCATCCATCTACCATCCATCATCCACCATCTACCATCCATCCATCTACCATCCACCCATCTACCATCCATCCAGCCATCTACCATCCATCCCCATCTACCATCCATCCATCCATCCATCCATCTACCATCCAATCCATCCAATCCATCCATCCATCTACCATCCCCCCATCTACCATCCATCTACCATCCCCCTCCATCCATCCATCCAGCCATCCACCATCCAGCCATCCACCATCCAGCCATCCACCATCCAGCCATCCACCATCCAGCCATCCACCATCCAGCCATCCACCATCCAGCCATCCACCATCCAGCCATCCACCATCCATCCATCCACCATCCATCCATCACCATCCATCCATCTACCATCCATCCATCTACCAATCCATCCATCTACCATCCATCCATCTACCATCCATCTACCATCCATCCACCTACCATCCACTACCAACCATCCATCCACCACCATCCATCCATCCTACCAACCATCCATCCATCCACCATACCACCATCCATCCATCCTACCATCCATCCATCTACCATCCATCCATCTACCATCCATCCATCTACATCCAGCCTCCACCATCCATCCATCTCCACCATCCATCCATCCTACCATCCATCCATCTACCATCCATCCATCTACCATCCATCCATCTACCATCCATCCATCTACCATCCATCCACCCATCTGCCATCCACCATCTGCCATCCATCCCCATCTGCCATCCACCCATCTGCCATCCACCCATCTACCATCCACCCATCTACCATCCATCCATCCACCCATCTGCCATCCACCCCATCCATCCACCCATCTGCCATCCACCCATCTGCCATCCACCCATCTGCCATCCACCCATCTGCCATCCACCCATCTGCCATCCACCCATCTGCCATCCACCCATCTGCCATCCACCCATCTGCCATCCACCCATCTGCCATCCACCCATCTGCCATCCACCCATCTGCCATCCACCCATCTGCCATCCACCCATCTGCCATCCACCCATCTGCCATCCCATCCATCTGCCATCCACCCATCCATCCACCCATCTACCATCCACCCATCTACCATCCACCCATCTACCATCCACCCATCTACCATCCACCCATCTACCATCCACCCATCTACCATCCACCCATCTACCATCCACCCATCTACCATCCACCCATCTACCATCCACCCATCTACCATCCACCCATCCTACCATCCATCCACCTACCATCCATCCCCACCTACCATCCATCCACCTACCATCCACCACCTACCATCCCTCCACCCAACCATCCATCCACCTACCATCCACCCATCTACCATCCACCCATCTACCATCCACCCATCTACCAACCATCCACCCATCTACCATCCATCCATCCATCCACCACCATCCATCTACCATCCATCCATCCAGCCATCCATCCATCTACCATCCATCCATCTACCATCCATCCATCTACCATCCATCCATCTACCATCCATCCATCTACCATCCATCCATCCATCCATCCACCATCCATCTACCATCCATCCATCTACCCACCCATCCACCCACCTACCTATCTCTATATATATATTTTTCCAATGTATTCTCTATATATGTAAAAATGTTATTATGTTGTTTGTAAGATTTTTAATAAACATTTACACTCAAATGTCTTCATGACAGTCATGTACACTATTATTCACATAGGTTTCCCCAGATACACCCCAGCACCTTACCAGTCACCTGAGCACTGCACCAGAGGAGCTTGCAATCTAATGTCCCTTCCACAGTCACTAACATTCATCATTACAGGTCTGACATATTTGGAGGGTCTAAAAATAAGACAATTAGGCTCCATGCACACTAGCAGTTTTTTTAAGCTCAAAAGACGCTGGTAATAGCATTTTTTTAGTAGTGTTTTAGTGGCGTTTAGCAGCATTAGTGTTTTAAAGTACATGTAGAGGAAAAAAAAAAGATAGAAAAAAAAGCTGTTGTTAGGAGCACTTTAGTAGTTTTTTTTTTCTGCTGGAAAAACGCTCCAAAAAACTCTACAAAAACCTTTTTTTTTCTGCTCCTAGACGCTGAAGCTCAAAAAATGCTAACCAGCCTAAAGTAGTGTGCATGGACACATAGGATGACACTATCTCGCTTCTAGGAGCAGAAAACAAATATGCTGATAATAGCTTCTAGGAGCTTAATAAAACTCCAGTGTGCATTAACCAGACAAATCTGTTCATGCACCAGAAGAGCTTGCAATCTAATGTCGGTTTTACATTCATTACTATAGGACTTTAAAAAGGCACTTAACCGGTCAAAGCAGTTCACTGCACCAGAGGAGCTTGCAATCTAATATCCCTTTTAAAATCACTCGTATTCATTACTACAGGTCTGACATATGGGAAGGGTTTATAAAAAGCAATTGACCAGATACATCCATCCATGCACCAGAGAAGCTTGCAATCTAATGTCCCTTCCACAGTCACATATTAGTCGTTACTATAGAAATAACCTATCTGGAGCATTTAAAAAAGGACATTAATGAGTCAAAGCCATTCATTGCACCAGAGGAGCTTGCAATCTAATGCCCCTTGCATATTATTCATTACTAGACAGCATTTTAAAAACAAAAGCCATTTGACCAGTCAAAGCCGTTCATTGCACCAGAGGAGCTTGCAATCTAATATCGGTTTTACATTCATTACTATAGGACTTTAAAAAGGCACTTAACTGGTCAAAGCAGTTCATTGCACCAGGAAAGCTTGCAATCTAATGTCCCTTCCAGAGGCACACATTATTGATTACTATAGAAATAACCTATTCGGAGCATTACTGAAAAAAAAAAAAAAAAAGACTTTTATCCAGTCCAAGCTGTCCATTACATCAGAGGAGCTTGCAATCTAATGTCCCTTCCACAGTCACATATTAGTCGTTACTATAGAAATAACCTATCTGGAGCATTTAAAAAAGGACATTAATGAGTGACAGACGTTCATTGCACCAGAGGAGCTTGCAATCTAATGTCCCTTGCATATTATTCATTAGTAGACAGCATTTTTACAAAAAAAAAAAAAAAACTCCATTTGACCAGTCAAAGCCGTTCATTGCACCAGAGGAGCTTGCAATCTAATGTCGGTTTTACATTCATTAGTATTCATTACTATAGGACTTTAAAAAGGTCCTTAACCAGTCAAAGCAGTTTGTTGAACCAGAGGAGCTTGCCATCTAATGCCCCTTGCATATCATTCATTACTAGATAGCATTTTAAAAAAAATCCATTTGACCAGTCGAAGCCGTTGACTGCACCAGAGGAGCTTGCAATCTATCATCTAATGCACACTTACTTTTCATACAAATAAGTACCGTGTTCCTGCACCCCATACATATGATTTTGCCCCAAATGTTAGAAATCAAACCATAATCCAGCGAATCACAGAAGTACGGGCTGATGACCTCATGAGTGGAGGGTGTTTGTCGCGGAGGGCGTCCATGTACTGAAGGTCTTTGAGCGTCCATGCCTTGGATGGCAGCTCTACCCCAGCATGGGCTCCACAGGTGAGATCCCACCCGATACATCCAGATTGTCCTCCTGCCCCCCGCACAGCAGGACTCACCTTCACATCGTGTCCCCCCGGGGCCCAGACCGAATACACGGTCCCGAATGGAGAGGCCTGGGGAGAAAGCCTCGGCCATTGGCATGGAAACCAGGAGATGACAAAAGGCAGCCCGCTCCACCCCATCCCCCTTTCTGGAGGCTCACAAGAGCCCACCGCAAGCAGCTCAGCAATTTACAGCCTGCAGACCGGCTTCCATTATCCACAATGACACCAGGCAGGTGCCGGCACCCTGCTCTGCTCGGGGCCCACACGGGTAACCAAATGAGGGGGGGGGGGAATCCACCCACGGGGCCCGAAACTATCCGACTGCGCACATGTAACGCCTGTGGGCTCCAAACATCAGCTGATTGCAGAGGAACGCATTGCGTGGCTGTTGGTCATCTGTATGTACCAAGACTAATCCCCCCAAAATCTGGGGGGGGGGATGGGTGCCCCACAGTTTGCAGCACAGTCCTGATATGTACTGTATGTATGGACTCCGCACAGTCCCACTTCTCCTGTCCTGGATGCTGGGTGTCATTCTCGGTATCTGTCCTTATTCTGTATGTATGGACTCTGCACAGTCCCACTTCTGTCCTGGATGCCGGGTGTCATTCTCGGTATCTGTCCTTATTCTGTATGTATGGTCTCTGCACAGTCCCACTTCTGTCCTGAATGCCGGATGGAATGCTCGGTATCTGTCCTTGTTCTGTAAGTATGGATTCTGCACAGTCCCACTTCTGTCCTGGATGCCGGGTGGAATTCTCGATATCTGCAGAGTCCATACATACAGAATAAGGACAGATACCGATAATGACACCCGGCATCCAGGACAGGAGAAGTGGGACTGTGCAGAGTCCATACATACAGAATAAGGATACAGTCCCACTTCTGTCCTGGATGTCCGGGTGTCATTATCGGTATCTGTCCTTATTCTGTATGTATGGACTCTGCACAGTCCCACTTCTCCTGTCCTGGATGCCGGGTGGAATTCTCGGTATCTGTCCTTATTCTGTATGTATGGACTGTGCACAGTCCCACTTCACCTGTCCTGGATGCCGGGTGGAATTTTCGGTATCTGTCCTTATTCTGTATGTATGGACTCTGCACAGTCCCACTTCTGTTCTGGATGCCGGGTGGAATTATCGGTATCTGCAGAGTCCATACATACAGAATAAGGACAGATACCGAGAATGACACCCGGCATCCAGGACAGAAGTGGGACTGTACAGAGTCCATACATACAGAATAAGGACAGATACTGGGAATTCCACCCAACATACAAGACAGGAGAAGTGGGACTGTGCAGAGTTCATACATACAGAAGATTGTAAGCTCTGAGGAGCAGGGCCCTCGATCCCCTCATGTTTTGCATTGTATTGGTATTGTTCTGTCACATGTTCTGTCCCCCTTTGTAATGTACAGCGCTGAGCGAACTATTGGCGCTTTATAAATACTGTATAATAATAATAATAATAAGGACACAGTCCCACTTCTGTCCTGGATGCTGGGTGTCATTCCCGGTATCTGTCCTTATTCTGTATGTATGGACTCTGCACAGTCCCACTTCTCCTGTCCTGGATGCCGGGTGTCATTCTCGGCATCTGGTTTTATTTTGGGGACACACTGCTGGGCGAGCACCCAGTATACTATTTATATCAGGTACTTATATAACGGCAGCAATTTACGCAGCGCTTTACATATATATTGTACATTCACATCAGTCCCTAACCCTCAAGGGGTGTACAATCTAAGGTCCCTAACCCTCAAGGGGTGTACAATCTAAGGTCCCTAACTCACAGTCATACATACACATACTAGGGACAATGTAGACAGGAGTCAATTCACCTCCAGCTTGTCTTTGGAGTGTGGGAGGAAACCGGAGTACCCGGAGGAAACCCACGCAGGAACAGGGAGAACATGCAAACTCCAGGCAGGTGGTGCCGTGGTTGGGATTCAAACCTACGACCCGAGTACTGCCAGGCGGATGTGCTAACCACTATATATAATCAGAAGATTAAGGAAAGGTGATTGTCGATCAATCTGGGGCAGACTGACCCTTTAACTGTAACATACATCTGTGGTCGGCAGTCGTCATAGACAAGATGGCAGTAGACAACTCACTTAAATATCCCCCGATCGGCGACCACGGGCAAATTGTCTGCCTCCGGGGCGGATTTAGACAGGGAGATGTTGCAGCTGCTGCTGTGAGTGCCGACACTTTCAGGGCTCAACCTGCACAAAAGGGAAAAGGGTTTGTGTTACATTGTTGCTTGTATTGACAGTCACAAACATTGTATGCAGTAAAAACGTATTCACATTAACAGACGCCTAAAGAAAGATCTCTCAGTTCTGTGAAGAAAAAAAAAATTAAAAAGTAAACTGTGAGATGCACTGAGATCTGCACATCGGCACCGTGTCTCAGCGCACAGCAACGGCCATGCGTTCAGAGCAGCCCATGTGAAACAGGTATAGATGCATGTCCACAACTGTCCCATAGGTGGCAGCACTGAACTGCTTAAAGAGGTTGCACACCTCAGACATGAAATATGAACAAAGCACGTTCCTCCATAGTGTGTGCTTGTCTCAATCCAGAGCACTGAGTGTCATTTCTGTCTGCTGCCTTGTTCCTCTGCTATCTGCCTGGGTCACTCCTGAGAAATTTTCCTTACACCAAGAGGTGTCAGCTCGCAGTCTGTGATTGACAGCCTCAGCTCTGTTCCTGTGTGCCGTGTGAAGGGGGGTGTGTCCCTTCCCTCCCATCAGCTTTCAGCGAGCTCTGCAGGTGTGTCCCTTCCCTCCTATCAGCTCTCAGGAAGCTCTGCAGGTGTGTCCCTTCCCTCCCATCAGCTTTCAGCGAGCTCTGCAGGTGTGTCCCTTCCCTCCTATCAGCTCTCAGGAAGCTCTGCAGGTGTGTCCCTTCCGTCTTGTCAGCTCTCAGCGAGCTCTGCGGGTGTGTCCCTTCCGTCTTGTCAGCTCTCAGCGAGCTCTGCAGGTGTGTCCCTTCCGTCTTGTCAGCTCTCAGCGAGCTCTGCGGGTGTCCCTTCCCTCCTGTCAGCTCTCAGCGAGCTCTGCAGGTGTGTCCCTTCCCTCCCATCAGCTTTCAGCGGGCTCTGCAGGTGTGTCCCTTCCCTCCCATCAGCTCTCAGCGGGCTCTGCAGGTGTCCCTTCCCTGCTATCCGCTCTCAGGGAGCTCTGCAGGTGTGTCCCTTCCCTCCTATCAGCTCTCAGCGAGTTCTGCAGGTGTGTCCCTTCCCTCCTGTCAGCTCTCAGCGAGCTCTGCAGGTGTGTCCCTTCCCTCCTGTCAGCTCTCAGCGAGCTCTGCAGGTGTCCCTTCCCTGCTATCAGCTCTCAGCGAGCTCTGCGGGTGTGTCCCTTCCCTCCTATCAGCTCTCAGCGAGCTCTGCGGGTGTGTCCCTTCCCTCCTGTCAGCTCTCAGCGAGCTCTGCAGGTGTGTCCCTTCCCTCCTGTCAGCTCTCAGCGAGCTCTGCAGGTGTGTCCCTTCCCTCCTATCAGCTCTCAGCGAGCTCTGCAGAATATAACTTCAGCTTCCTGCCCTGTTTTCTGAAAGCTCAGACATGCTGTATAAATTCTGGACTTTGAATGGTTGTAGAGAAGAGAATATCGCAGATAAACAGGTACAACGTATGTAGGAGGATTTATTTAATCTCTGTGTATCACCTGAGGCCAGTCACTTCATTGCGTATATGGAAGGATTTCCAACCACTTTAATGAAAGTAGACAACACATTGTACAAGGAAAAGGGCACTTCCGCATCTAACCTCCTCTCATTACCTATGCAGCTACTTCTATAAAAACCTCTATACTTCTATAAAATACTAAAAATATATAATAATAATAATACAAAAAAAAAAATTATTATTTTTTATTATTGGTATTATAATACAATTAAATAATAATTGGTATATTGGTAATAATACAATTAAAATACAAATAATAAAAATTATAATAAAATAATTCTATAAAAATAATAATAATAATAATACAAATACTATATTAATAATATAATAAATTAAAAAAATTAATAAAAATAGATTATAATATTAATAAAAAATAATAATAAAAATATAATAATATATTACAAAAAATATTAATAATAAAAAAATATAACAACACTTCTATAAAAAAACTTCTCTATAAAACCTCCATCCTTCCATTGTGTGCCATCTATTGGGCCATTCAAGCTGCGCACATGCGCGCTCTCGCCTTCTCTAGCGTCACTGGTTGAGCTCAGCTACAGGATGGCGTACGCACATACTGAACGCACGTTCAGGTTCAATACTGAAGATGTGAACTTTGGATTGAATAACCCAATAGGCTGATTTTGCTGTTAAATTTCAGACCCCACACAGCGGAGCATCACTTACTCCTCCGGGGAAGAGACGTCGGGGGACTGGACATCGGGGGACTGGACCTCTGGGCTGCTCTCTCCGGCACTAGGAGGGGGACTCGGAGGCTGAGAATTCTCCACCGGTGGCTCTTTGGGCGGTGAAGGTGGCAGAATGCACACCGTAGGCCTCTGAAAGTCTCTCGGTTTTATAAGCAGACTGCACTGGGGTGATGTTCTCCCACAGGGGGCGCTGCTGGCGAAGTAACATTGGTTTTGGCCCACAACTCAGCACTGTTGCCCATGGACCGCCTCGGGCGCCGGACCTCTTCGCCCCCTAGTGAATTCTTCCTCCGATCCTTGCGGGGGCCGCTGGAAGACTCCTCGCTATCACCGTCCTCGAGTCTTAGGGCGCTCTGCACAAAACACAGGGAGATCCGTAAATAACAGGAGCCAATCGCTGCGCAAAGAGAACCTGCCGACAATTTTATACGTTTAACGGCCAGTTCACGCCACAAAAACGCACTCAGGACGCATTCCAGATACGTTTTTGCTTACAGTTCACACCACGTGCAGTTTCGGTGCAGTCTGCCGTGTTCTGGAATGGTTCTGTGCAGAAAATTTGCAGCACGTTCTACTTTTTTTTCTGCACTAAAAGGCAAACAAGTGGAACTTTCACTTTTGGGTGGAACACCACTTTAAACCCCTCGCCTACCGGGCACTTCTACCCCCTTCCTGCCTACCGGGCACTTATACCCCCTTCCTGCCTACCGGGCACACCCCCTTCCTGCCTACCGGGCACTTATACCCCCTTCCTGCCTACCGGGCACTTATACCCTTCCTGCCTACCGGGGCACTTATACCCCCTTCCTGCCTACCGGGCACTTCTACCCCCTTCCTGCCTACCGGGCACTTCTACCCCCTTCCTGCCTACCGGGCACTTCTACCCCCTTCCTGCCTACCGGGCACTTCTGCCCCCTTCCTGCCTACCGGGCCTTCTACCCCCTTCCTGCCTACCGGGCACTTCTACCCCCTTCCTGCCTACCGGGCACTTCTACCCCCTTCCTGCCTACCGGGCACTTCTACCCCCTTCCTGCCTACCGGGCACTTCTACCCCCTTCCTGCCTACCGGGCACTTCTACCCCCTTCCTGCCTACCGGGCACTTCTACCCCCTTCCTGCCTACAGGGCACTTCTACCCCCTTCCTGCCTACAGGGCACTTCTACCCCCTTCCTGCCTACAGGGCACTTCTACCCCCCTTCCTGCCTACAGGGCACTTCTACCCCCTTCCTGCCTACAGGGCACTTATACCCCCTTCCTGCCTAACGGGCACTTATACCCCCTTCCTGCCTACCGGGCACTTATACCCCCTTCCTGTTCAGGCCAGTTTTCAGCTTTCAGCGCTGTCGCACTTTGAAAGACAATTGCGCGGTCATGCAACACTGTACCCATATGTACCCAAATTTTTATCATTTTTTTGTGACAGATGGAGCTTTATTTTGGTGGCATTTAATCACCTCGGGGTTTTTTATTTTTTCTTCAACAAACCAAAAACCACTGAAAATTTTGAAAAAAAAAAAATGTTTTTCTTAGTTTTTGTTATAAAATTTTGTAAATAAGTGATTTTTCTCCTTTACTGATGTGCGCTAATGAGGCTGCAGTGATGGGCACTGATGGATGGCACTAATGAGGAGGCACTGGTAGATGGCACTGATAGGCATCACTCATACATGGCACTGATAGGCGGCACTGACTGGCACTGATAGGAACCACTGATGCACACTGATAGGCGGCACTGATTGGTAACACTGACTGGCATTGATAGGTGGCACTGATGGGTGACACTGAAAGGCAGCTCATATGGGTACTGATATGTGGCACTGCTGGGGCTACACTGATCATCGGTGTACATGTCCCCTCTGAGGGATGCCGATTACTGGCTCTCCTCTCCTGTCAGCGTGACAGCTCGTGAGGAGAGAAATGCCAATAATCGTTATTTCCCTGTTTACATGTGATCAGCTGTGATTGGACACAGCTGATCAGATGACCAAGCCGACATCTTAGGCTCTTTCCGTTGATCGGTGATCCACTGTGTCCGAGGGACACAGCGCACCGCCGACGGCTGCGCATGAGCGGTTAGAATGGGACGTCGTTATAGGACATCCTCCCAGAACGAGAGAACCGCCTTGCGCCCGTCATTGTACTATATATGGCGGGCAGGAGGCGGTTAATGG